CAGTGGAGGAGGAAAATACAACAGCATTTGGACAATTTCAGTATAAAGCAATGAGAAACATCTGAATCAAATTGCTTTTAAAATTACACCATTTTGGAAATTAAAGCGGGGGAAAATATCTCGGCCAAAATGTGTTTTAAAAGATTTATGGCCTCCAAAGTGTTAGCACAATAGCAAAAGAGGCTGGGAAAGAACTCGCCCTCCCAGGCTTCTGCCGTCTGCTCTTACAAACTGCTACAGCCAGATGATTAAACTAACCTTTCCCCAGTCTGACCACAGGGCTGCTTTTTCCTTTGGTCCAGCTCGGTCCAGCCCAGCCGTGCTCTGCTCTGCAAATGTGTTTCTCATGCACATTTTGGCACAGGGAAATGGTGACTCTGAGTGGAAACACCCAGCTCTCAGCAGGTCCAGCCTCATGGACTCCTAAGCGAAGTCAGGCAACAGAGGCCAGTTGAGGTAGGAGTCTTTGCAAATAAGTCACGGCCCCAGACCTCAAAGAACTGGCTGTCTGGAAGACAGCAGGTGCCATCAGGGCCTGGATGGATGAGGGAACTGAGGCACGAAGACACACGAGGAGACCTTACCAAGGCTGGACACTCACCCCAGGGTAGCAATAGGATCTAAATTAAGGCCCAAGTCTCACAGCAATGTAAACAACGATCCTAATGCAAATACCTGAAAGAGACTCTCACCATGTGAGAGGCAAGAGCCTCAAGCCTTGAGCATGGCCCAAATGGGCGTCGGTCTCATCTACAATATGAAAGGTATTGAAGGGAGAGGTTCTGAACGTGCCAGCCTGGCAGCCACGAGCTCCCGCCTGGGTTTTCCGAGCTTTGCTGCTGGGGCCTCCCCGCTCCTTAATGTCCTCTCTTCTCACTCTGACCCTCACTTTCTATCTTATTCCTAGTGGGGCTTGAGATCAATTGCATCTTCTTTTTTTCCCACTCAATATTAGAATATAAGCATGTTCCCCCCTGTAATTGTAAAGTCTTAATTAACATTTGCAGTGGCTACGTCATGTTTCATTCAAGATGCTCCACAGATGAACCGATCCTCTATCAGTGAACAGGTAGGCTGTTTTCAATTTTTCACAGATACCAATAACTCAGAAGTGAAATCCCATGGAGGCTCACGCCTGTATTCCCAGCACTTTGGGAGGCCTAGGCGGGCAGATCACTTGAGGTCAGGAATTCGAGACCAGCCTGGCTAGCAAGGCAAAACCCCATCTCTACTGAAAATACAAAAATTAGCCAGGTGTGGTGGTGTGAGCCTGTAATCCCAGCTACTTGGAAGGCTGAGGCAGGAGAATGGCTTGAATCCAGAAGGCAGAGGTTGCAGTGAGCCCAGATCCTGCCACTGCACTCCAGCCTAGGCGACAGAGCCAGACTCTGCCTCAGAAAACAAACAAAAAAGTGAAATCCTTCTGCCTACAGGTATGTACACTGTTTAAACCAGCTGAAGCCATACAGTTCTAGCCGTGGAATGGAAGCACTTGGAATGGTGACAGTGAGGGGTAGAGAAGGCTGGATGAGGGGTCATGAGCTGCGGGGGAATGCAGGGTGCCCCCACATCTGGATACTTTACAGATACTGGGAAACAGCCCCTGACAGCTTGCAGGATTTGGCTGTTTCCTCACCACTGTGCCCCTGACATCCTGGGACAGGACCCGCCCACCCCACCCCACCTCGGATGTGTAATAAGCCAGGAAACACTAAGCTTGTGTAAATCATCCCTTTCCCCCAGACAGTAAATCAGGGTGTGAACTATGGGGACAATGTCACGGGATTTGGAGGAACAAGCCAGGCCTCAGTAGAGCCAGGCATCTAGGAAGTTACCTGCGTAGCGACAGGGACATCGACTGTGCTCCTGTCCCCAGCAAACAGGCCTCAGACCAGCCACCCAGACCAAAATGATTCATCCGTCTTTCCCCGAAACAACTTGAAAAGGGGGGCCACTCCACAAGAATTCTCGGCTCCCTGCAGCCTTGCAGCAGCCCAGCGTGTACCCTGCAGCACGATCCCTCTCCTCGGCTTGGCACAGTGCCCCACGGCCCCTCCTCACCCACTGACCACACCCAGCCCTGCGCCTGAAGGCTGAGTGTCCAACTCCTCAGTGGCTGCAGTGAATGCTTCTGGCCCATGAAGTTGTCCTCCTTCACCAATCCCACTCTTTCACCTATACCATTCCGGTCCCAGAAGACCCTTGGGTACCCCTCATGCCAGGATGAGCACCAGATGCTGAGGCCTAGAGATAAGCTCAAGAGCATCCCCACCCTTGAGGGGCACCCATGCCAACCAGCTGCTGCTGCCCGGTGCCTCCTTCCGTGCGTTCTCCTTACCTACCCACAGGTCTGTGCTCCTGCAGGCAGCAAGGCCCACATCTGCGGCTGCTTGGAGCCTTCTGGGGGACTCGGGGTTGCTGAGTACATGAGGATTCTTACTCATATACTTCGGCCACCGTTCAGTAACATTTAAGGACAATCCAAAGTTCCAAGATCATAAAGACTGTGGACAACACCTGTCAAATCCACTCTCGATACACATTAGGAAAACTGAGACCCAGGCCAGTGCACCACCCATTCCATCCAAAATGCAGCTGCCACGTTCCACCAGCACCAGGAGACTCGCCCCACGATGTCTCTGCTTTGTGCCACGCAGCAACAGCTGCTCTCCCCTGACTCCAGGAGGCCCCTTCCCAAAAAGGCTTCTCAGAGACAGGTGCCGGGAGCAGCGACGGGTGAGGAGGCTGCGGGGTCCTCTCGATTCTCCAGCAGCAGGCATACCTGGCGCAAGACTGCTCCAAGGCCAACAAGCCACCTGGCCTGCAGCAACTATACTCATGAAGGCTGGGTCCACCCTTTGCTGGAACCTCACCAGTCAAGCTGCCTTGGGGTCAGACAATAAGGGCCTGCAGGGTGGGCAGGGAAGGCATCTGGGGCTGCGGTGCAGTGGGGTGGAGGAAGGTGGTGAGGGTCTTTGTGGAGCTGCTGTACTCCAGACGCTGGGCCTCCTGTCTGGCCCCCACTCCCGCCACAGATCCAGAATCACCCAAGCATCTGTTGCTATTGCACCAATAATGACAACTCAGTCTGACACTAGAGGGGTTCCCCCGCAATTACATTCTAATTACTGTCTAATTATTGCCTAAGTCTGTCCTCTGCTGCCGTGACACATCAGGAAATTGCACCACGGTGGTTCATGATCCGCTCATGGCTTGGAGAGGCTGGATGCAGGGCAGAGGGCTGGGGCCGGGGGTGGTTCAAGCTGAAAACCCTAGGCAGTCTAGACATACATGCAGGCCAGGTTTCCTGGAGCTCACAGGGCCTCAGAGCATGGGCAGAGGGGCAGCTTGAGGCGCCCCGACAGGCCAGGGATGGCCCTGACCTCGGGGAAGGAAAAGGCCATGTGGCTCCAGGACCAGGGCCCCTCCACCGCCCTTCCCTTCCTGTAGGCTTGGCTCCTCCATATAAGAGCTCTTCCTCCACCCCTAGTGGGCCCCTCCTCACAGGAGGGTCTAGAGAGTCCCCATCCAAGGGGGACAGGGTAGAGAAGCACTGTCCAGCTCAGAAGGCCACCTTCCCAAGGGGGCCTGAAGGGTGACCGCCGGTCTCCCTTTCCTGACGTGGGCCACACACCCCAATAATGACCTCCCACTTAGAATCACAGGAAAAATAAAAGTAAAGATAGTAACAGGCACTGCAAGCCCTCAAGTCCACTCAGAAACACGCACTTTTTTTTTTTTTGAGATGGAGTCTTGCTCTGGAGTGCAGCGGCGCCAATCTCGGCTCACCTCAACCTCTACCTCCCAGGTTCAAGTAATTCTCCTGCCTCAGCCTCCCGAGTAGCTGGGATTACAGACACGTGCCACCATGCCTAGCTAATTTTTTATGTTTTTAGTAGAGACAGGGTTTCACCATCTTGGCCAGGATGGTCTCGATCTCTTGACCTTGTAATCCGCCTTCCTCAGCCTCCCAAAGGGCTGGGATTACAGGCGCATGCCACCATGCCCAGCCAGAAACACCCACTTCGAAGCCCCTCTGAGGGTCTTTCCATGTTCCTGGGCTCTGGCCCCCACGTGGCCTGTGACCCAGCAGCCCCAGCATTATCTTCGCACCCAACAGAAATGTGGAAACTCAGCCCTGCCCCAACTGACTGAATCGGGGTGTGCACCAAAACAACCCCCCGCAACTGTGTACACATCAAAGCATGAGGGGCGCTGCCCGAGCACCCGCCGGAAGAAAAGGCGCGTTTTCCTCCCTGGCTGCTCTCTGAGCTGTGCCTGAGCAGTGAGAGCAACAGGGTCTGACTAAATGCACTTGAACAAAAAGGGAAGAAAAGAAATCCAAGTCTCTCCATTCCTCCGAGACAGAAATAGTTCTGTGGCCTCCAGATGGACTGCGCAGACACAGGGGAGGTCTCGCCTTCCCGCCAAACTTTCCCAACGGGATGCTGGCACGGACAGCCCAGTGGAAACCAGAGAGGCTTTCTCTTTGGGGCAGTAAAATGAGAGGCTGTGGCTCATGTAGTCTCTTTTGTTATAATTAAGTTGGCCAGAAATTCACCTAAGATAGTAAATTCTGTACCTGACCCTCTAATTAGAGCCAGAAGGCATCAGGACACAATTACTTTCCAAAATAGTTCTTGGCAGGCATGAGGCAAGGAGTTCTCTGGGCACATCTCAAATGTGCCAGCTGCACGCACCCCAGGGCTGCCTAGCAGGCACCACGCCCCTCCTCCCTCTCTCCCCTCCCAGTACTCAGGCCCCACCCGCCGCTGTCTCAGACAGCTCAGCCCCCTGGACTTGGGGTGGCCAGACCTCCTAGTAAACTCACGGGTGACCTTCATAGCGCCTGGGATTCCCGGGAGCAGCGGCGCCCTCCTCTTCGCCCTCCATAAACCCAGCATGCCTCCCCAATGACATGGGCCACCGCTCTCATTAAATCCTAACGGGCTAATGAAAAACACCCCCGCTGCCCTCCAAGTGTGCGAAACAGAAAGTACCTCCTTGGGCAGCCACCGCTGCTGCCGCTGCGGCCACCACCAGAGGAGAGGCCTTTTTGCCCGGGTCGGGGAAGCCTGCAGCCTCCAGGATCCCACTTTTGGCTTCTTGCTTCTCGGAGGCCGTGGCTGAGGCAGATGTCTCCATCTCAGCCGCTCATCGTCCTGGGTGGTAACCCTAAGAGAGAAGACAAAGACACTCACCAACACTGCGCCCAAACCCAGCCGGGAAACGCCGGCCGAGATTCACACTGCCGCTCGCTCCTCAAGCAACCAACTTCATTCTAATTCTCTTATAATTGGGAAGGAGGGTTTAATTAATTTTGAGAATTATGAGTCCTGTGATTCGTCTGGTCTTCTGAACGACCTCATGGACAACTGCAGGGCGTTTTCATCATCTTTTACCCAGATTTCAAAAATCTAAGTAACAAGTTCCTACTGCTATGAGCGGCGGGTAGCCTCTGATGAGGGAAATAAAGTCACAAATAATGACTCTGTCTGTGAATCATCGAGAAAATAAAAGCAAATATAGTGACAATGACCTAGAGGTCCTCAGAGAAAGGCCCTCGTTTTCAGGTCGCTTCCCTGCTCACCAGACTCTCTCATTTACTCATTTCATGTTGGCTCATTGCTTCGCCCACTCATTCAATAAATGTCCAAACTTGATTGACTCACACACACTCAGTCAACATATTTGTAAGCCCCTAGTATGCACTGGGCATCACACCTGTACTGTGGCCTCCACTGGTGCTGAAGATACAATATGTGGAGTTTACATTCTCCTTGAAGACAAATGGGGGGGAAATAAATGTAGATTTAATTTCAGTGAGTAGGAGGTGGCTCAGAAAAAGAAAGCAGGGCAGCAGGACAGAGAGGGTGGCAGGGACGCAGCAGGGCAGCACTGCCAGGCCTCTCTGGGGCAGGGATGGGATGCCTGCGGGGCCACTCCACTGCAGCCGGAGGACAAAGGCAGGAGCCCAGGACAGTGTGGGAGAAGGCTGGCTTCTTTGAGTGGTAGCCAGAAGGGAGGTGCAGGCATCATTGGGTTTTGAGGAGGAGCAAGGCAAGATTGACTCCTGGTGTAAAGGGATCACTCCACTGTTGAGCAGAGAGCAGGCTTTTGCGGGGAGAGGGGGCTACTGTAGTAACCCAGGGAGAGACGATGGTGGTTTGGGTTAAGCAGGTGGTGGTGGAGCTGGTGCAGCATGGACATGCTTTGATGGCAGAGTCGACAGGCCGGGCTGCAGGCTGGATAAGGAGGGAGGCAAAACGGCTATGACCGAGAGAGGAGCACCCAGTGGGCTTCGGGGCACAGGACACTTCCGTCTCCAGCTGGGTGGTGGGACAGAGCAGCCTTTGGATCAGATACTACAGAGGAGAAATCTGAAAGTCACATGTTTTAAAGAAGGGTGGTGTGGAAGATGGCTGGCATTTTTGGCTGGGCACCTAGAGGAGTGGGGCAGAAAGGTTATGGGCAGCTGCATGAAGTAGGAGACGGCAGCGGGGAGCTGAAGCCTGTTGGGAACACAGGTCTGCAGCTCAGAAGCACCAGAGGCAGGGACTGGGGACCCAGCAGCCCCTGGGCCAGATCCCCAAGTGGGAGGGTGGACAGGGAGACGAAAAAGTTCCAGCACTGAGATGGGGGAAAGGAGCAGACACCAGCCAAGGAGAGAGAGGAGGAATGGAGGTGGCAGTGGGGAGAGGAAGGCAGAGGAGGGAAAAACAAACAGGAGAGTGTCTGGTCCTGGAAGCCAACCAAAGAAACACTTTCTCAGCCACTGAGAGCTGGAGATGAGGCCAGCATGGCTACCAGGGCCTGGTGCGGGCAGGGAGAGGGCTGGAAGACAGTAGAAACTGACGCACAAGCAATTCTGCCAGGAAGTTTTGCTATCAGAGAACCAGAGAGATAGGGACACGACCAGAGGAGGTGTGGAGGCCACAAGGTTGGGGGATTCTGTATATGGAAGGACACAGGTGGGGGCTCACATGGCTGTGGGCAGGGTCCTGCAGAGAGTGTGGGGACCAGGGTCGCAGTGTGCAGACACCAGCGGTCACTCCAGGGCCCTCAGCTACATCCACGTCAGTAGGCCCTAGAACTTTTCTGGCTTTCTTTTGAGACACAGTCTTACTCTGTCACCTAAGCTGGAGTGCAGTGGTATGATCTCAGCTCATTACAACCTCCACCTCCCAGGTTCAAACGATTCTTATGTCTCAGCCTCCCAAGTAGCTGGGATTACAGGCGTGCACCACCACGCTGGGCTAAATTTTGTATTTTTAGTAGAGATAGGGTTTCACCATGTTGGCCAGGCTGGTCTTGAACTCCTGGCCTCAAGTGATCCACCTGCCTCGGACTCCCAAAGTGCTGGGATTACAGATGTGAGCCAACGAGCCCAGCCAAGAATTTTTCTTAAGAGACAGGGTCTCTCCTGTCACCTAGGCTGGAGTGCAGTGGTGCAATCGAAGCTCACTGCAGCCTCAAACTCCCAAACTCAAGTGATCTTCCCGCCTCAGCTGGAACTACAAATGCGCATTACCACACTTGGCCTAGAATTTTATTTTTTAAATCCACACAATACTCCCACATCTTTTTAAATAGAAACATAGAAGAGTACACAGGAACAATGGAGAGGCCCCATGAAGGATGTCCACAGCTCCTGGCTTGTCTGCACACACCAGCCTGGCCAGTTTCCACAATCTTTCAAAACTCCCTGCCCAGAAAGCCCAAGAAAGTCAAGTAGATAGGAGAGAGAAAAATCTTGCTGGTGAGTCAGGGGCCTCCTTTTGGCCTAGAAATTCAGGGATTGCTGCCTGCTCTTTTAAGCCCACTTTAAGATCTGCCCCTTAAGATTCTAGCTATCTGAATGGCCCACCAGCAGCATACACTGGTCCGTGCCTGCTGCTCCTCTGCGCCTTACCTGGTCACAGGTAACAACCACAGCAGCCACCTGAGCTGCAAACTTGAGCACCTTCCTCCTCTCCTCCCCACACACATGAAGACTGTGAGCCCCATCACTGCACCCCACACCCCCCACACCCGCACGCCTGGCTACTCTGTGCCAGGTGTTCTTTCCCTCTGGGTCCTGGCACTTTTCACACCTCTGGTCCCCTCCAGATCATCCCCTATGCTTCTGCCAGGCACTATCCCAAAAATCACACCTCACTCCATCTCTCCCCTGCTGAGCCCCTTGGCCTTCAGGTAAAGTCTTCCCATGTCTACCCACAGCCTCCTCTCCCCTCCAGCTCCCTGGCTGCCTGACCCTCCTTAACAGGAATAATGGGCTCTGACCTTGCACACAGCCAGGCCTCCGCCCAAGCTATGCCACCCACTGGAAACTCTTCACCTTTCTGTGTTTGACGAACTCTTACTCTTCCTTCAAAATGCCACTCAGATGTCACCTCCTCCTGGAAGCCCCCCTTGCCCCTGCAGCCCATGGTTGGAGCCCTGAAGCAGTCAGAGCAAGTCCCTACTCAACACCCCTGTACTACATTCATCACCTCCAGACCAGGAGCTGTTCAGCACAGCATTCCCATAGCCACGCTCAGCCCAAGTTTGCAGCAAGAAGGCTCCATCCATGAAGGACAGACCCTCACCAGACACGGAATCTGTCAGAGCCTCGATCTTGGATCTCCCAGGTCTAGAAGTGTGAGAAGTAAATTTCCACTGCTCCTAAAGTACCCAGCCTACGGCATTTTGCCATAGAGGCCCAAACCGATCAGACAGCAGCTGCAGCTTCCTCATGGCAATCCCATCTATTGACATCGGCACAGCGGATGTCATCACCAATTCTTACAGGGGAGGAAGCTGAGGCTCTCATGGAGAGTGAGCTGCCCCAGGCTGCTCCCCAGGGAGGCACAGGGCCAGGCCTACAGCCTGATCCTCCAGCCGATATGCTGCCTCAGACCTTAGGGTGTGGTGGCTTCAGAAACAGGGTGAACGCAGTGCGGGAGGAGGGGCACATATTCAGATGCCCACCTCCCAGACTGCTGCTCAGGGAAAGGACGTGCACACAGACACACCTGAGCTTTCATGAACGCCTGTGGGGAGCAGATGCAGCAGGGGGGTTCTAGGCAGTGCCCACTGCATCCGTGGGCTCACCCTCCCACCCCTTCCCGGAGAAGAAGATAGTACACAGAGCCAAGAGGCTGTGTAAATCGCAGGAATTAGCAGGATTAGCACAATTTCTAGGTAAACACCAGGTACCCAGGGTCCCAGGCAGCCACTTTCACTCCCTAAAGCTCATCTGAGGCAGACCTGGCAGCCCCAGCGGATAGCCTCACCTCGGCCCCCAGGGGCTGCCTGGGGACAGCAGAGAGGGTCTGCCCAGGGATGGTTCCCACGGGCTCCACAGAGCTCCAGAACAAGAGGAGCTGTGAGTCACAGCACTTACCACAGGGAGGAGAAGAGTCAACTCCTCACTTCACCTTCGAAACTCACACAGCTCTGCCGCTTCCAAACAACCACAGAGGGAACAGCCACACTCTCCAGAATTCTGCTAAGGGGGTGGGAGCAGGTGCCCGGTACCCAGGGCCGGGAGAAACCCCCTGTCCATTAGGAGGTTCACCCAGGTCAGCTGCCCTCTGGGGCCTCAGCAGGGGCACTGGTGACAGCAAGAAGCTCTGGGAGCATTTCTGGACCTTCCCCTGGAGATTTGATTCCCAAAGTCTAGGCACAGGGCGGCAAGAAGAGCTTCATTTTTGTTAGTTCCACAGGTGTTTCTGACACAGAAGCAGGCATATGAAAAATAAACCAGGTGCTCCTCAGGTCCCTTCTGGCTTCCAAATAATCTACAATTTCCAGTTAAAGCGCAGGATTGTCTAACCGGATGAAAAAAATACATTTTTATCTACGCTAGCCTGGAACTGAAGCTGGTGTCTCCCTTGGGCTGCCACTGGCATGAGTGGCAGCTATGTCCACGCTCACTGCAGTGTCCCACTTACGACAGCCATTCATTAACCCCGCCGCTGGCCTTGCCCTTCAATGTGTCAGTGAAGCAGCACGTGTATTCTTGACCGCAGATGCCGTGCCTTGAACACTTGAGACATCACATCATAGCTTTCTTTCACACGCGTACGTCTTTTTGTCTATACATTTATAGCATTATTGTAGGAGTCCATGAACTTCACCTGGTTACCAAGATGCACACGGCACAGAAAAGGTTAAGAGCTCTGAGTTAAAGG